TCAGTTGCTTTCTCTCCCAAGGATCCACAAAGAAAGGCCAGTAAGCATTATCACATGCTATATACCTCATTTGTTTAATCCTCTTCCTACATGCCCCAGTGGGGGAGTTTTTGATTGTGTCTTGTTCACTGTTTCAGAGCTGGAATAATGCCTCATATAACAGAAAAATATACAGCAGGTCAAACAATGAATGGAACAAAACTGGTCAACAATTACCTTCATAATGACAGCTTCCATAAGGCCAGCACCTTGGCAGGATTACAAAGATAAAGGTCAATGAGGAACCTGGAGGGCCAGGAAAATTCTCAAAGCTCCAGTGAAATGAACAGGAACCAAGATGCTAGAAATAGCCAAATAGCTTAGCTCAGCTCCTTGAACCCCTGTTGTCTACTACATGTCCAAAATACGAAGATGGTCCATGTTGGGCCAGCTAAACTTTTTCAGTGTTCTATAGTATTGCAAACTCGGAAGCCAGTGCAGGGCAGTTTCTCATTTACACCACTTCCAGGGCATAGTGATGCTGGATGAAGGTCACAAATCAGTGGTCTTGAACACAGATGTAGCACAAGGCAGCCTGGAAGATAAGCATGAATGTCTAGAAATAGCAATGAGCTCTATGAATTCAGAGAAGCTTTCTGTAAGATACAGAAGACAAAACAGTGATAACCATTGACTGGGTGTGGCACACATGCCTTTAATCCCAGCACTCAATAGGCAGAGGCAAGGTGGATCTCTAAGTCCAGCCTGATCTACATAGTGAGTTCCAGGCCAGCTGGAGCTACAGGGAGACCTTGTCTCAAACAACCCCTAACCCACCGCCCCCCAAACCAGTGATAATCAGAATGATAATACTGAAAATAAATCAAGATGCACAGACTTTGCCGAGCTAGTGAATATTTAATCTCCCTTTTACTTTATACTATAGTGGAAACAGTTCCACTGCTTATGACTACAAATTGCACACTTCTATTTCAATCCAGTCTTCCCTTCTACGTCTGTTATTTTCACAAATTTCATTAATATTCATATCTATGTTTCTCTTCATTATAGGGTGAAACAAGAGGGTATCCAGGAATGTTCATCACCATCCCAGCTGGATCATGCAAGATAAGACATTAAGTTCAGTTGGCTTTTGTTCCTTTCATTAGGGTGTTGAACCCTAATAGGCACTATGGAAATCACACGTAGACTCTGAGTGAGTGCCTCCCTGAACTGGCACCCTGGAACCTGGTAGACTTCATCCCTAGACTGCTTCACTACTCACTAGGACAGATGATAAATCTACCCATCAAATTTATCATCAAAATTTACCTTGTGCTTTCATAGTGTTCCATTATAGACTCTCTTTTGTAACTGCATTTCTTCCAACATGCAATTTTGTTTTTATATTCAACTTTACAGTGCCAGGACATTAAGAATAAAATGCAGGATTCGATTCCCCTGCAGGCTGAACACCTCCATTCTATCTACCCCTACCCTATCCCTCTGCTAGCCTTGGGACCAGACACACACCTGCTCCTCCGTCTCACATTTCTGGACTAGCTTCCTAACCCAAACTAGCTGTATCCTCTGGCTTAGTTTGTTAAAACCTCCATAGATTGTCCAGACCCCCACCTTCCCCTGGGACTCCTGATGTGCCTAACACAGCCCAACCTTCCTACTAACCTAGTAAATTCAGATCCCTCCCATCTTGTCTTGATTTCCCTGCAGCCTGAATACCTCCAATCTACCCACCCCCACCATGTCCCTGTCAGCCTTAGGATGAAGCCTGCTCCTACTCCTCCATCTCAGAACTCTGGACTGGCTTCCTAAACCAAACTAGCTAAATACTCTTAGTTTGTTAAGACCTCCACAGGCTGTCCCCACTCCCACCTTCTCCTGGATTCCTGATCCTCCTGACACTAATATCCTGATAAATCAGATCCCGCCCACCTCATCTTGATTTGATTCTCCTGCAGCCTGAACACCTCCAATCTACCCACCCTCACCCTGTCCCCTTAGCTTTGGGCCCAGGCCAGCTCCACCTCACATTGCTGGACTAACTTCCTAGCCAAGAATAACTAAATGTTCTAGCATAGCAGGCTGTTCCTGCCATCTACCCCTGGCTTCCGGATCATCCTGACACAGACCATCCTGCCTACCACCCTCACCCACCAATTCCCCAGACCAGCCTACTAGACTGCCAGAACCTGAAGCACAAATCAACTAACTTTTCATGACTGAGTAAAAACGAAGCAACATAAACAATACAAACAGAACCAAAATTCAACTAAACAAAGGCAGAATAGAATTTCCTACTGGACTCCCAACCAACAAAAAAACATCCATATGTCCAAATGGCAATGCGAAATCACAAATAATAAGAAAAACTAAGAGAATATGCCCCCAATAAAACCCACCATTCCTACAGATGTGTACTACAATGAGAACCACCCTGAGCAACCCCATGACACACAGTTTAAAAGAACAGTCACAAACATAAGTCACAGAACTTAAAGAAAATCAGCTGCTTTAATTCTACTACTCTTGAAGAAAAAAGCAAAATCTACTATTTGCTTATTCATTCAATACATCAGCAGTCTGGAATGTTTCTCATAGCTAGGCACTAAGGTGCTTAAGTAAAAGGAATCACTTGTTAAAAGTCGATAGCAATTTATCAGGAAAAAACAATTCTAAGTAGGAAAAGATAACTTCCTTGACCTAAAAAAAACTATCCAAGAACAAAAATTCCAGTGCATCAGAAAATTCATTCCATTTAAAGTCAAAAGGGAAACAAGAGTACCTATGATTTGCATTATAAATTCATTAGTGATACTTCAATTTTCCAACCAAACCAGCAAATAAGAAAGTGTTCATAATTATAAGGAAACATATATATTTATTTATACAAAAACTGTCTATGAATAACACCCAAATATACTGTACTAACTTAGGAAAATTACTTTCCTAATAATTTTATTTGTTAATAATTATTTTAATAAATTTAATAAAAACAATTATTTTCCTAGTAATTTTACATTTTTTAGCAAGCAATTTGAGTACTAATTCAATAAATAGAGCATTTAAAAGAAAATGTAATTGAACACCCACCCCAAACCAAAATTTCCAATTATAAATAGTTACTGATTAACCTAAATCTCAAGGGCCCAAAAACACCAATATTGGGGTTGGAGAGATGACTCAGTGGTTAAGAGCACTAGCTGCTCTGTCAGAGGACTCAGGTTCAGTTCCCAGCACCTACATGGTGGCTCATAATCCTCTTAACTCCAGTTCTAGAGAATGTGACACCCTCCTCAAGTACACTTACATACATGCAGGCAAAACACTCATAGACATAAACAAATTTTTAAAAATTTTAATGCCAATATGCTCAAGATTTGTATACAGATCTAATATAATTTGGAAACAAAAATCCAATTTGTGGAATTTTGTCATCTCACTTTAAAATTTAACTCACAACATTGCTGAAGAATGGGTAGGTGTTAAACACAAGATATAGAGAAATCTCTAAATTACAAATATGTAGTATACATGTATCAGTATGAGTAAAAGGATTTTTATGGAAATACAAGAATTCAAGTTTATTCACAAATAATCACTCAAACTAAAAAGTACATTTTAGGGAACCTACTGTCAGGTCCTCAAAATGGAGACAGTGCTGCCAAGCCTCCCAGATGTCAGGCCTGAATAGGCTCCACAACCAGGAAGAGTAAAATCAAAACAGCATTCCTCAGGAACCAGTCTCAGCAAACCCCCTTGCAGAAACTGGCTTTCAAATGCCCCTGGCAGAAACGAGGTTTTGCAAATGCCCCCAGCAGAGACCAGGTTTCAGTAGAAACCAGATTTCCTAAAACTCCCTGCTTATCAGGAAAATTACAGTTCCCTCACCCTCCAATTCAATGGTAACCCCCACTCCCTCATGGCAAAAGCCTCATGTAAAGTCACCCAAGCCTCTAACTTCCTATGAAATCTATCCTACTTCCTCTATTAGTGGCTATTTCTCTATCTTTGAAAGGTAGCCCAGCAGTTTGTAAATGAACTGTTTTTCTCGTTCACGAAGTGATCCTGTTCAGTGGTTTTCATTGCCTACTTCCATACACCTACTTAAGCAGTAAACTCCAGATAAAGGCAAGAAGGCAGAGAGAAATATGTAATAACAAAAACATACACGTTTTTAAATCTTAATGATTTCCATCTTGATTCTTTTTGTAAATCCATTTCATGGCTGTCTTTTAAAGTCGTTTCAAAATATAAGAATAAACGTTTAAATCATTTAAGTGTACAATTCTTTGGCATTTAGTATATTCACTATTCTAAACCTTCATCACTGACCACCACAATCATGTTTATACTTTTTATGGATACAGTTGTCATCTCTAGATTGCAAACAAAAGCTTAAGGTCTCTGCTGAGGATTTAGCTACTGCTCTCTCTTTAATTCGAAGTTTGAGTGTGAGGATTATCACTTTGGGGGGCCTATTATGTCTTACTCTGTAATTTAAAAATGTTAAAGGATAAACAGCACAAATTAAGCTGGGAAAAAGCAAGGCATTAGTTCACATTAATTAACGCTGTAATAAATGGGCTAACTTTGAAGTTAAATATTAGATTGTTAAACTGAATTATATTCTTACAAGCTATTTGCACGAGATTCTCCGCTAACAAATGCGTAAGACGATAGATGAAACTTAAAATATAAAAGGTACTGGGAAAGTTAAATGGAAACGAAAAGATAACTTCTGTGCTTATTTTAATCACATTTGCTGAAGCGAAACCTGCAATTCCTGCCTTCCCGTCACCCTCAATTCATCACAGCTCCCCCCTCCCTTGCCCTAAAGACTCCAGGTTGGCAGAACCTCCATTATCGCTTAAAGGATTTACTAAATTCCAGTTCTCCCCAGTCATCAGCAATTAGAATCGCTTCCTGGCGCCGTTATTTCTACAACTTAAACCACCCTGTTTCCAGAGACTAAACAGTTAACTGTTGAAAGCATAGCTTACCAGACAGAGGGTAAAATTCAAGGAAGCAGAAGTCTCGCAAGTTACCTCCGAAGGATGAGAAGTTTACACCAAATGTCCTGAACGGTTAGGGTAAGAAAAGGGCCCCCCAAAAGAACGGAAAGATTAGATACCTAACCCTTTTTTGCACAAGACTCATTGCAATTGCCTCCTGAGAGTAATGGCTTCCGCTTCATTTCCGCCTTCCAAATCTCACGGTACTTCATTGGACGTCTCCAACGCAGAAACCCTGAAGGTTTGCATTCTGGGAAATGTAGTTCATTCGCCTTGATAAACATGCACCAATCACAGAGGTGGCTTCCAACTCAGGACCCTTGTCACCCCAATTAAACAAGGACCCAACGCGGAGGTGAGAAATAGGTGGTGGGTCAGCACTAGATTGAGAACTATTTGAGACTGATTGCTTGGGGGCGGGGGGTATGACTTAAAAGGACCACTGGATGGCTGACTAGACCAGTGGACGCATTTACACTGAAGGACATTTGGGTACTAGGGTACTAACGCCTAAACGAATAGGACTCAGCATGTATGGCAGGTTCAGTGGAGGGGATAGGGAGAGGAATGGGTGAAGGAGGGGGTCTGGATGTGAGTGGGAAATACTGTATGAAATTTTAAAAGTTCAATAAAAAGAAAAATACATTGGGAATAGAACTACAGGTAGGCAGTTTACAGCAAAGCCAGGGAAAATCTGCTATATATCTCAGTTACTTATTGAGTACAATCTTATGGTTTGAGCTGGTGGGAATTAGTGGTCTCTTGACAATACTTAAATGATTTAATACAAGGGGTAAGCAATGAATTAAAGAGACTGAAATGTTGCTCAGTTTGGCTCTTGATCAACAACATTGTAACTCTCCACAATCATGAAGGTCTTGTGTCCACCTCTTCAGCATAACATACCAGCATGTGCCACCACAACCGACTCATAATCATGAAGTTCTGATCAGTCACTCAGCCTTGTAGAATCTTCAACATAGGTCTGGCATTGTTTTTCTTTCTTTGACTCCCTAGGAAACTCAATTTCCATCAGGTAACACATATTTTAGTTGTTCATACATATCCAATCCATGACAGAATATTGCCTTAAATGTGTAAATTAACAACTGGGTTTTACAACTCAAAAACAAAATATGTCATCAGATAGCAGCTAAGATCTGTAGCAGAGATTTGTTGGTTTGCTATCACCCAGTCTTGTGATTTGAATGAGAAATGACCCCTATAAACTCATATATTTGAACCTTTGATCCCCTGCTGTTGGTGCTATTTTTAACTTATCTATTTTTATTTTATATGTATGAATGTTGTGTCTACACGTATGTATATTCATCATGCACATGCAGACCCACAGAAACCAGGAGAGGGTTTCATATTCCCTGGAACTGAAGTTCTTGGCTGCCATGTGGGTGCTGGGAGTTGAATCCAGGTCCTCTGCAAGAGCAACCAGTGCTCTTCATCACTGAGCTGGCTCTCCAATCCTTTTGTTGGTGCCTAACCACCTGAGTTTGATTCCTGGAACCCACATGATAAAAGGGGAGAACAGACTCCCACAAATTGTTTTCTGACCTCTGCATATACATTGTAACACTCATGCACAAACACACCCAAACACAAACATGCGCCCACAGCCATAAAAAGTGTAATTTACAAAATTAAATAAGTCAGAATGTCAATAATTTAATACTTCAATCTCTCTGACTCTCTTTAGAGACTCATGCCCAAGATAGATGAGATAATTTGCCTAGAGGACAATGCTTCAAAAATTAGTTTTCCCAAGACCCCTTTATAGCCTTGTTCCTCAGTGTGTAGATCAAGGGTTTCATCATGGGGGTAATCACTGTGTACATCATTGAGGCCATTGCACTCTTCCTGGGAGAATCAGTAGCTGTAGAACTGAGGCAAACCCAAATAGAAGTCCCAACGAAGAAACAACAATCTGGTGAGACGGACAGGTAGAAAAAGCTTTACGCTTTCTACCAGTTGATGAGAGCCTTAGGATGGGGGAGACAGTTTAAGAATAAGAAAAAATTATCCTCCAAAGGGTCTCAATACACATGTCAGTTACTAAATATACCAGAAGGTTATTTTTAATATGTTTTTATTATTTTTATTTTATGTGTGTGAGTGTACTGCCGACATGTATGTGCACCCATGTTGTGCAAGCCAATGGAGGTCAGAAGAGGGTATTGGATCCCCTGGTACTGGAGTTATGGATGGCTGTTAGAGTTATGATTGGTTGTTAGCAACCATGTAGGTGCTGGGAATCAAACCTGGGTCCTTTGAAATATAATCAGTGCTCTTAACCACCAAGTCACCTCTCCAACCCCATCAGGAGGTTATTGATCAGAGTGTCAGAAGAAGTAATCTTGAGGATTTTAATAAGCTCACAAAAGAAGTGGTGGGTTACTGGGTTTGTGCAGAAAGTTGGTCACAACAGCATCAGACTATGCAGCAGGAAATCTGCACTACCAAGGGACAAAGGGACCAGAACCAACAGGACGCAGTAAGCAGGGACTCAGGATGACTGTGTAAAGGGATGGCAAATGGTCACATAGCAGTTGTAGGCCTTCACACTCAGTAGTAAATCATCCATACATACAAAAAACAAGAAAAGATTCACCTGAGAAAGGCAGTCTGATTGCATGTTGTTGAGCATTTTGCTGGAAAGCAGACATGAATGACAATCAAACAGACATGTTTGCTCTGAAGTTTTGCTTCACCCATCATTTTTCGACAATTTTTATATACCAAGATAAGTGAAAATGTATGTGTTTTATTAATTAAAATTTAAAAAAACATCCATTGGGATTGGAAAGATGGCTCAGCTTTTAAGAACACTGGCTGCTCTTGCAGAGGACCTGGGTTTGGCTCCCAGCACCCACATGGCAGATAGCCATCCATAACTTCAGTTCCAGAGAATCTGAGGCCCTCTCCTGGCTTCTTTGGGCAATGCACACACACATACACACACACACACACACACACACAACACACACACACACACACGCTGTGCACTTACAGGCAAAATCTTCATACATATAAAATAAAAATAAATTAAAAGACAAAGACAAATAAGCAGTTTTATGTTGGAAAATAAATCAGGAACAAAAGTTATTTAACAATTACCTCAGAAAATGCTTTGAAATGAATTTGACCAAGAAACCTTTAAGATACTAATGAATGAAATTTAAAAGACACTAGAAGATTGAAAAACTTACCACACTCATGAATTGGAAAATCATAATATTGTGAAAATAGGTTGTACTGCCGAAAGAAAACTACAGATCCAAAGCAAATCCTATCAAAACTCCAATTCTGTTATTCACAGACATAGAAAATAAATCTTGAATTTTATATGGATGTACAAAAGCCCCTTAATAGCCAAACAAATACAGACCAAGAAAATAATAATGCTGAAAGAATCAATTACTACATCTGATTTCAAGTCACACTACAGACCAACAGTAACAAAAAGAGCATATTACTGAACAGGAAAGAATGTGCAGATCAAAGGAATAGAGTAGAGAAACAAGTTCTAAGCATATATAGATACAGCCATATTGTTTTTGATAAAGATGACTGTATTTTCTGTTGCAACAAAATATCCCTAAAAGATGCAACTTAAGAAGGGTTTACTTTGGTTTGCAGTTTGACAGTACACTCCTTTATGGTAGGAAGGCATGGCAGCAGGAATGAGAGGGTGCTGGTCACATTGTATCCACAATCAGGAAACAGAAAAAGATGAATGCTAGTGTTCAGCTACCTATCTCCTTTTTATGTAGTTTGGGACCCCAGCCTTTGGAATGGTACTACACACATTTACACAGTGTCTTCCCACATCAATTAATCTAATTTAGAATTCACTTACAAACACATCTTGAGATTTGTCTCCAAGGTGGTTTTAGATCTTATCAACTTGACAGTGAATATAAACTATCATAATGACCAAAATACACTGGAGAAAAGATAGCATCTTCAACAAATAGTGCTGATAAAACTAAATATCCACATACAAACAAATGAAGCAGATCTCTATCTCTCACCCTGTATGAAAATCAACTCAAAAATGGGTCAGTTTTAAGTAAGATCTTCAAACTATTAAAATACAATTCACTGTAATAATTTGCACTATCTCCATCCCAATTTCATGTCCTCTTTAATGATTTACACTATATTTCTTTTTGCTACTTTTTCATAGTAGCTATATAATAGCTAAGTAATATTTATGTCATATGGCAAAATTTTCCTATCAATCCTTCATCCTGTGATCAATTTTACTGTGCATTTTTACAAAGCAATAAGAAATGAAAGTGAAGCTCCAAAACTTACTTGTGGGACATGTAATAACTTTTCACTCAGTAAACCAATTCCTCACTAAGGCTTAGGTGTCCTTCTGTGTATAAGCCCCTATAATAGTTGTTTAGAGGCCCTACAGTCAGTCACATACAAGCAAGACTGACTGGACTCTGGGTTATGAAAACAGGCCATGACAATGGGAAGGGGGTGGCTGCAGGGGTAGGGCCGGGGAGTAGTTGAAGGGGAAATGAGGGCTTGGATATGATCAAAATACATTATGTACATGCATGGAGTTAACATGTATAGCAAAATATATCAGGTCCGGTGGGGGATGTGAGGTAGGAGGCATGGATGGGGTAGGAGGTCTAAATTTGATTAAGAACTCTTGTATGAAATGTACAAAAGCACAATAATTTTTTTCATATTTTATTATTTTTATTTTATGTGTATGCGTGTATTGCCTGCATGTAGGTAAGTGCATCCATGCCATGCCGTGCCCATGGAGGATGGAAGAGGCTGTTGGATCCCCTGGAACTGGAGTTATGGACAGTTGTTATCTGCCTTGTAGGTGCTGATATTTGAACACGGGGCTTCTGCAAGAACGGTCAGTGTTCTCTCCAGCCCTAATAATTTTTCTTAAATTATAAAAAAGAGATTTCCAACTTTCTCTATGCAAAGTCAGATACATAATTAAGGATATAAAAAAGCTAAGTTTGAGTTTTGCTTGCTACACGCTGTACAAACAAACAATATCACAATTTGTTTCATAGATACATGCTATTATCAAGTGTGAACTGAAAGCTTTCAGTATTTAAAGGTACCTATGGGGTTATACACTTTTAATTGCAGCACCTGGTCAGGACTGTGCTGAGGCAGAAATAAC